CTGGGGCAATAAAATTCACAATTTTTGTAGAGGCACTCTTGCTCATCATAACTATGCACTTACTTAGTTTATTTAATACCTAGGAGCAGAGAAGAAGATTTTTAAAGAATTCATGTAATTTCACTTTATAATCAATAAAGCCCCCCCCCTACCACCAGAACCATTGACCCTGGGGCCATAAAATTCAAAATTTTGGTTGATGCACTCTTGCTCATCATCACAATGCACTTATTTAATTTATTTAATACCTAGCTAGGAGCAGAGAACAAGATTTTCAAAGAATTCATGTAAATAATTTCACTACTGTAACATATAATCAATAGAGCCTCCCCCCCCAAGACCAGAACCCTTGACCCTGGGGCCATGAAATTCACAATTTTGGTAGAGGCACTCTTGCTTATCATAACTATATTGTATGTACTTAGTTGGTTTATTCAATACCCAGGAGCAGAGAAGAAGATTTTCAAAGAAATAATGCATTTTCACTATCTACTTATTTAGCCCCGCCCTAGCACTAGAACCCCTGACCCTAGGGCCATGAATTTCAAAATTTTGGTAGAGGACTCAATGCTGATTACAATCATGCAAATAGTTTGACTGCTTGATGTCCAGGAGTAAAGAGGAAGATTTTTAAAGATTGCATTAATTTTAGTGGTTTTGGCCCCACCCCTCAGGCCCCAGGGGGGCAGGGATCATGAAATTCACAATTTTTGTTCCCCTTCACCCATAAATGCTTTGTGCCAAATTTGGTTGAAATTGGTTCAGTGGTTGCAGAGAAGAAGCTGAAAATGTTCAAATGTTAACACACGACACACGACGGACGACGACGGACGAAAACGGATAGCAATAGGTCACCTGAGTTTAATCAGGTGACCTAAAAATCCATATTTTTAAAAATTTTGAACACGGTTTTATTGATTTGCCTAAAAAAAGATTCTGTGCTAAAGTTTTAATATATATTAGACACAAAAACACACTTTTAGCTGTACTAACGATATATTCTATTATCTTAAAATATTCAAACAATGTTACGGAGGTTAGAGGAAATTTGGCGACAGCGATGATCAAAGGTTTGTTTAAAAATCGTTATTCATTTATCAATGAAAGTTTCCTTTATTTGATTTTGACATGTTTCTTCATTAATTAAAACAATTTTTGTTTGTTTAAAACAAAATGCGACCAGGTAATGCACATTCAAACTGCAAGGTATACTATGGCGAAATCGCCTTCTACACAATTGCAGGCTTCCTTTTGTGTAAATACTCGGAGAAAAAATATCAAAAAATATACCAGCTAATGTTTTTTGTGTGCCAATTTATATTAACATAAAGGGCCAAGGAATAATTTGAATATCAGTAACCATAGCTTTGAAATGTATTGGCGACATAGCGTTTTTTCATTTGTATGAATTATACGGGAATGACTGATCATATTCCTAGCATATTTACGATGGTTTTGATCGGTCGCGAGGGCTCAATGACACCTGAACCAAGCTAGTTTTTAATTTCTCCGTGATTGTCCTGCTCCCGATATCTTTTTGCTTTGACTTTTGAGCTCGATAACTGTTTGTTATCCCCTATTCAATTTAAGGTCACTTGGCAATAATCAAACATTGGATAAGATACATAGAAATATTAAAGTGTAAACAAAACCCCTTCCTTGAAGACAAATAGCAACAAAGCAACAGAAGTATTATGATGAGGGTCAACGAAATTACAAGAGAGCAAAAATCAAGAAATATATTACTGTATGTTGCATAAAACCCCGCCTCAAAAATATAGCCTCTGAATCCAGGGCCGATAAACTTACAACTAATGAAGAGACATGCTTATTTATTGTAAAAATAGATTATAAAAATGGAAGCCGTCAGTTAGCATTCGACTTAGACTGTATATGCTGATAGAGTAATTGTATCTACCAAAGAGCATACGAAATATTTACTTAAGAAACCTCTCTACACTGAACACTAAAGAGTTCTGATTCTATGGGGGGGGGGGGGTTGCAGTTAAAGTGATCTGCCCTTAGATCTTAATTCTTAAAATTAGAAATTCACAGTTAACATAGTTTTTAATTAATTTAGTTATTCTTAACATTTTAAAAGGCCAACATAAATTAAGTGAACATGTAATTTACATGTATTTTCTTTATAGGAGTAAAGAATAGCAATTTCAATTCACTGATACTCTGTTGTGTTTGACTTTTTTTTTCCTGGGCGCAAATGCCACGCATCATATGTTGAAAATCGTATAAATAAGCTCAATATCAACAACTTTATAGAATACATATTTCTCAATACCCATCTATCGATAGAAAAGTTAAAGTCAACACGTTTATCATATCGTTAAATTGTTAGATTCAACGAAAATCGCACAATCAATCAAATTGAAAGTAGAAAAGTGATTTCAAAATATATCCTAGAATTAATTGTACTAATAGCTTTGTTTTCCTGCCAGGTCTTACTAAGTTGTACAGTTGTGCGGGAAACCCTTATATAGCGTTACACTGCTTTTAGATAACATTTAAAAAAATTAAAATCCTAATTACAGCTCACAAGATCGTTCACTGATCACTGGCCAATTATAAGAACAAAGTAGGGGCGTTCATCTTAAGCATTTCCTCACAAAAGTTTTCTTGAAGGGAATGAAACAACTATCAGTCACGTATTAAAAGATTGAGGGGCAAAATGAAAACCATCTATCCTGTGTTCAATAAACCAGAAGTGAAAAAAGAATTAGATAGATTGCACGATCAGTACGTACTGGTTCCTGCCGACAAAGCAGGTAATAACATTGTCTTCGTTTGTAAGGCTCATTATATAAATTGCATTCTAGAAGAACTTGGATTTAATTCTACAAATGGTAATCCTACTTATACATATACTACTCTTTCTAAGGAAGAAATTCTTCAAAATCACCTCTCAGTTTTGAATACTTTTAATATTCCACAGAGCCAAAATGAATTTGAACTACCTTATATATATATTGGATTCCGAAACTTCATAAGAATCCTTACAAACAAAGATACATTGCAGGTTCCAGTAAATGTTCAACCAAGCCTCTTTCGTTACTTCTCACTAAAATATTGACAGTAGTGAAGGAAAAACTTCAAAAGTACTGTACAACTATATATTCAAGAAGTGGTGTAAATCAGATGTGGATACTTAAAAATTCTAAAGAACTTTTGGACAATTTGAAATCACAAGACTTTACAAAAATCAACAGCATAAAAACTTACGACTTTTCAACTTTATACACAACAATTCCGCACGACAATTTAAAATCCAGACTTTTTGATATTATTGACAGCTGCTTCTTCAACAAAAATGGAACTCGTAAGTTTACTTACCTCGTCATTGGTCATTTGAAAAATTATTTTGTTAAAACAGATTCTGATTGCACACATAAGTACTCTGAAGTTGACATCAAGAAGATGCTTGAGTTCCTGATTGACAATATCTATGTGGTTTTTGGAGACCAGGTATTCCAACAATCTATTGGAATTCCCATGGGTACAAATTGCGCTCCGTTATTAGCAGACTTATTTTTATATTCATATGAAGCAGAATTTATACAAAATCTTTTGCGTGAAAAGAAGAAAACACTTGCTGTGGCCTTCAACTCGACATTTAGATATATCGACGACGTATTGTCAATTAATAATGATAATTTCCATTCCTACGTCGACACGATATATCCTGGTGAGCTTGAGATAAAAGATACCACAGAGTCCGACACTTCTGCTTCATACTTGGATATTTTACTTGAAATAGACACAAATGGTAATCTAACAACCAAGCTATATGATAAACGTGATGACTTTAACTTTTCTATCGTCAACCTCCCTTACTTATGCAGCAATATACCTTCATCACCTGCATACGGAGTATTTATATCTCAGTTGATTCGATACGCAAGAGCATGCTCTACGTATGAACAATTTCTTAAACGAGGTAAATTATTGACAAGCAAGTTGATGAAACAAGAATATCAACAGTCTCGTTTAAAGTCATCATTTCGTAAATTCTATGGTCGATACAATGACCTTGTCAGCAAATACAGTTTAACATTGAATGAAATGCTGACTGACGTTTTTCATACCAATTGTTAGTCCATTATTTATACACTGAATTGACCACGGATTTTTTCCGTTATTTCCTGATTATGACAACGAGCACACGGCGGGTGTGACCGGTCGGCAGGGGATGCTCACTCCTCCATGGCACCTGATCCCACCTCTGATGTTTCGGAGGTCCGTGTTTGCTCTGCTCTTATTTTGTATATTTGTTTAATGGACGTTGAGATTGAATACTGTTCGTTATTTCCATATCCTTCTAGTAGAAAAATAAATGACACGAACCAAAACAAAAAAAAAATATGACTTAAATACATCAAAATACATAAGAAAAATATTATTTAAAGTACATGTATAAATATGTAGTTGAGCAAACATCACTTTGTACAATTTAAAAATTACTTAGAAATTTAAAAATATTCTAAGCAATACATAAATGCATATTGAAAGTGGGCGAAGGTAAAGAACAAGGTTCACTTTTTCCTTATAATACATATAATACATATTTTTTGTTAACAATGCACTGAATATCACTTAGAACTTTGGAGATTGCGTATCTATAAAAAAAATAACGTAATTTTCTGGCTTGTCAATGCATTATGACGTCACAAAATGCATCAATTTCCTCATATTCTGAAAAAGTCTACAAAATCGGCCAATTTTTAAAGCTATTTTTCGATAATTGATATGGAACGCAACCTCTGATCTAAAATATGCAACTAGTGAATGATAGAACTGTTTCTGAGGTTTAAAAGACGTGTTTTATTTTTTTCTGTTAGATCAGAGAGTGCGCTTATATTATTTTTCTTCGCTGAAAGTAATTAATTATACCTGTTTACCTAAAATATTCAAGAACATTGCAATTTCATAAAGCCAGTTCTCCGAGACCTGGACGTTTAGGAGAAAACTTTAAATAGGATATGAAAACATGACGTCTCAATTTTATTTTAATGCTTCAAATGAACAATCAATTGTAAATCAATTATTTGGTATATCTACAGGGCTATTTTATGCACAAAGTGAACCAACTTCTTTTAATGTTGAACGATGATGCTGAAATTTTTTTAATCGTTTAGAAACAAAAGCAAATAAAAAATAAACAGTTAAAAACTGCACATATATTTTTTTTTCAATTTTCACATATTTTTTCAAAACCTCTATCGTGTATTGACAATGACAGGAACAGTAACTGTGTATTCCGTGGCCATTACATCGTTTGTAGGATAGGGAGGCGGGGGGTCAAAGCTCATTGAAGGATTTCCTAAATCTACAAAAAATATATCGATATACCATGTTTTTATTTTCCTTCTATTCGTTTAAAGAAATTCATAATTAGAGCAAATAAAACTTTACTGCTATGTTGTAAATAGTGAAAATTAATACATTTTATTTATGTTTTCAATAATTGTAACTTCAAAACTTTTTTCTTCTTAGAATCAGAAGTTGTTTGTTCTGATTTTTGTTCACAATATATATATATATATATATATATATATATATATATATATATATATATATATATAGCACAAATTACAACAACTCTTAAACTAATATAACTGCCCTAAGTGAAGGAATATTGATATAGAAAGCACAGAGAAATTCACTTTTACAAGGATACTCACTTCCGCCCCAGCCCGGGGTTGAACTCTCGACCTACGGAATCTGTCTCCTAGCAGTATAGGAACAGCGCGTTAGACCGCTCGGCTATCTAGGCAAGTTAAAAAACTTGCTTTCGATGCCGATGGAATTCTCACAACGCTGCCCTACACTACACGGTCATTGAGAATGGAAGTGAGATACAGTTATTTAGACGTTAGTTTTTCGAGGATTGTTACCAATACATGTTGTGATGAAATTAATTTTATTTATAAAGCACAAATTACAACAACTCTTAAACTAATATAACTGCCCTAAGTGAAGGAATATTGATATAGAAAGCACAGAGAAATTCACTTTTACAAGGATACTCACTTCCGCCCCAGCCCGGGGTTGAACTCTCGACCTACGGAATCTGTCTCCTAGCAGTATAGGAACAGCGCGTTAGACCGCTCGGCTATCTAGGCAAGTTAAAAAACTTGCTTTCGATGCCGATGGAATTCTCACAACGCTGCCCTACACTACACGGTCATTGAGAATGGAAGTGAGATACAGTTATTTAGACGTTAGTTTTTCGAGGATTGTTACCAATACATGTTGTGATGAAATTAATTTTATTTATAAAGCACAAATTACAACAACTCTTAAACTAATATAACTGCCCTAAGTGAAGGAATATTGATATAGAAAGCACAGAGAAATTCACTTTTACAAGGATACTCACTTCCGCCCCAGCCCGGGGTTGAACTCTCGACCTACGGAATCTGTCTCCTAGCAGTATAGGAACAGCGCGTTAGACCGCTCGGCTATCTAGGCAAGTTAAAAAACTTGCTTTCGATGCCGATGGAATTCTCACAACGCTGCCCTACACTACACGGTCATTGAGAATGGAAGTGAGATACAGTTATTTAGACGTTAGTTTTTCGAGGATTGTTACCAATACATGTTGTGATGAAATTAATTTTATTTATAAAGCACAAATTACAACAACTCTTAAACTAATATAACTGCCCTAAGTGAAGGACCGTGTAGTGTAGGGCAGCGTTGTGAGAATTCCATCGGCATCGAAAGCAAGTTTTTTAACTTGCCTAGATAGCCAAGCGGTCTAACGCGCTGTTCCTATACTGCTAGGAGACAGATTCCGTAGGTCGAGAGTTCAACCCCGGGCTGGGGCGGAAGTGAGTATCCTTGTAAAAGTGAATTTCTCTGTGCTTTCTATATATATATATATATATATATATATATATATATATATATAAATAGCACTAAAAATGACCAACGACACGAACAATAAAAATTGTCAAATTTTCGGGACGCCCTGTCCCTTCCTCAGGACAAAGAAAAAAGTTAAAAAGTCATAAGAACAAAGGAAAAAGAGAAACAAAAACAACTAGCACTACTACTTAACTACTAAACACTAGATATTTACATACTTAATTACATGTTGAATTGGAAATTTTAAAGAACACTAATAAAGAAAAAAATTCGGACCGCTATGAAATGCGTCCGGTCTATCGGGTATACTCGGGTGAAGTGCGATTTACATAATTGAACGAATTAATTATGCTACAATCCCCGCACCGTACAAACAGCCATTGATGAGATGGCGGAACATGACAGACAAAACCTATTACGCTACAAGGAAAAAGACAATAGCGACAGGGTCCCTCTGGTAACCACATACCATCCCGTCCTTAAGAACCTTAGCGGTATCCTTCAAAAGAACCTGCCAATTCTCCATTCAAACAAACGAATGGCAGAGGTCTTTAAGGAACCCCCATTGGCTGCATACAGACGCCCAAGGAATCTAAAGGACATGGTCGTAAGAACCAGACTGGACAACCCATTACCTAACGGGGGCTTTAAAACTTGCTCTGACAGGAGATGTCTTCTTTGTAAGCACAGCACTGGCACAGACAGTTTTAACAGCCCTGTTACAGGCCGCAGCTACAAAATACTAGGGAATTTGTCCTGTCATACTGACAACTGCATTTATCTCATCACTTGCAAAGTTTGCTCCAAACAGTATGTTGGTGAAACAGGAGATCTCCGTAGGAGAGTCAATAACCACCGTTCGACCATTAGGACCAAAAAACTCAATGAACCCGTTGGGGAACATTTCAACCTTGAGGGTCACAAATGGGAGGACATGACAGTAGTGGTGATTGACCATAACCCAAGATGGACAGATGCTCAGAGGAAAAGCAAAGAAAAGTTCTGGATGCACAGATTGAAGTCATTCCGCCCAAATGGTATTAACAAATTGAATGACTTCACTAGAATGAACGTAAATTAGACCCAATTCCTGATCATACTAAACAAAATTATTCTCTCAATTTAGTGTAAACTCTACAGTTAATTTGTGCCACCAACTCTCGAACTCGAACAACCACATAACTAAGTATTGCTTACGCCTTTGTTAATTATTTTTTCCCGATAATAAGTCCTTAAATATTTCAAAATTTATAATTGATCACAATTCATATGTTTAAATATTCCTACTATTGATTTTTCTTTCATTATTCTTTATTAAGTAAAGTTACGCCATTTTGAGAGAATGAAATAACGTACGATTTACTGATTGTCGTAATTAATTAGCATAATTAATTCGTTCAATTATGTAAATCGCACTTCACCCGAGTATACCCGATAGACCGGACGCATTTCATAGCGGTCCGAATTTTTTTCTTTATTAGTGTTCTTTAAAATTTCCAATTCAACATGTAATTAAGTATGTAAATATCTAGTGTTTAGTAGTTTAGTAGTAGTGCTAGTTGTTTTTGTTTCTCTTTTTCCTTTGTTCTTATGACTTTTTAACTTTTTTCTTTGTCCTGAGGAAGGGACAGGGCGTCCCGAAAATTTGACAATTTTTATTGTTCGTGTCGTTGGTCATTTTTAGTGCTTTATATAAATTTCCATCCGTGACCTTGTATCTACTTGGTAGATCCGACATTTAGGATATACAGTGTTGTTGGTTTTTTAGTGCTTTATATATATATATATATATATATATATATATATATATATATATATATATATATATATATATATATATATATATATATATATATAGCATTGAAATAAAGCAAATTAATTGTTTAAACTTAACAGAACCTGAAGAAGCATTGTTAACTAAACGTGTGTGTGGGATTTCCGATCTCTGAAACACTAATCCTGGAGTTCTCCTTCTTCGACAAATCAAAACGACTGCCACTGCTATTGAGGCAGTGATCGACACTACAGTAATTAGTCCTATAATCCACGTGTCTGAAAGGAATGACGTAGTTTTATATTACTTTCATTATTTTTTTAATCAATTTTACATTCATAAAATGTGAAATGATGTTATGGTTAGATTTTGTGAAATAAAAAATAGAGAGACTTCAAATATTAATGATGATACAGTTTCTAATAAATCAAACAACATAAATTATAAACTGAGCAAATAGGAACCTACGAAAACAGATATGGGATCAGATGCCATGCAGTAAACATCCCCAATGACCAATTTTATGTATTGCTTTGTTAAAAACAAAACTCACCTAAGGACAAATGATACTAACAAACTTTTGTCAAAGAATTTGAAAATAACAACTTGGGTCATGTTTAGATGAATAAAAGGAATAACTTTTAACACGTAGTTTTTAAATAAATGTTTTAATAAAATTTGGACAAAAGTGGAATTAAAAGTAAATAATACTTGTATAGTTCAATAACGATTACTGCAGAATGGCAGAATTTTGGACATCACAGAAGGTTTACAATTTTTTATACTCTAGAAAGAACGAGTGCACTTATGGGCCCCGGTAAAATGTGAAAAAATAAATAATCAAATTCAGCAAAAATTTTCATTTCAAATTATTAATTGATATTCAAATCATACGATTCAATAATTTTTACCGCTGAAATCCACGAATATACAAAGAACAAAACTATACAATGTGGTAGGGGTCAGCCGACATTGGCGATTTTCTATAGTAAATCGAGAACGGTCATTCATTTCAAAGCCTTTGTTAACTATGAGCCTAACGTTGTGCAAACTTGTGCGGATGACAAAAGACGCATTTTACATTTATAAAACTTGTGTGAAAGTATGAAATTTGCACACGATTAGGCTCGTACTTAAAATATTAAAAATGTATAAAAAGTACAATGTTTTTCCTATAGGAAGTGAGAGCTATTTACCTGTATGACCCATGTTGAACCCACGTGTGGAATGAATTATTTAGAATACTGATAGTCACGTGAGTTCTACCCAGGTAAACATTCCTCAAAGGTGCTCACTGTAAAACATAGGCAGGTTTTGTTTCAGTAAGTCAAAGCCCTGTCGCTTAGAGATGTTTATATATACCTGGTATGCATTTGTTTTTAAGAACACGGGAGGGTAAGGACATTTTTAACCTTCATGCAAGACAATGAAACAGGTATTGAAAGCTACCTATACCACTCTTTTTCAATTTCATATTCAATGAAACTATAAATGTTATTTTTCAAATGCAAGAGTACCAATTTCTTAGTTTAATCATTTAGATACAGGCAACTACACAATTTCATTCCATATTTTTAAAAACAGGTTTGGCACAAGAAATATCATTCCGTAAACGCGCCCCGACTATGATCCACCATCAGATTGTACAAGTATCGATTTAGATATCTATTCCTTGATTTACATAAACGAAACTAAAAGAAGGTTTGGTACGACTTTTCCGGATTTATAGGGTATCAATAGGCCTTTCAAAATATTCAATTGTTTCAAATCCATGCTGATTTAAGTGGCGCTTAACCTTTTTTTAAATTAGAAATATCCAATAGTATCTAACTATTACCAATAGAGAACCATTTGGTAACATATTTTGAAGTAAAATGGCACATCAAAAGGGCCCAATAAGTATTGCTTAAGTGCACTTGTCCTTTATTTCTTGCATCATTTGCAATGAAATTAGGCCAAAAAATATATACCAATCCAGGCATCTATTTTTTGTCTGTATCATTTGGTCTTAATTTTAGAACGTTTTTTGAACGATAATTAAGTGGTATAAATTCATATTAATGTATGACATGTAGACATATATTTTACATGACTTTTTTCCTCCCTTTTCATGCAAAGAATAAATATGAAATTATGATCTCATACAAAATTTATTCGAGCCTTTTGGCCTGTCTCCTTTTTATTTACAGACAAAACCATTGTATTGTTTTTGCATTATGGGATTTTTCAGTTAATGTATCTTTCCCTAGGTTTGGGGATTAATTGATTAATATTTTATTATAATATATCAAATTATTTTTATTTAAATTTTCTGAAACTGTGTATTTAGTTATTTACATTAAGCCAACTGCACGTACGATCAGGTCCCAACAAGGAAATCTCGTTTGCATATCAATGATAATTGATCACTTCTCCGTAAGGGTAGTTGTCTAGTACTTGGTGAGAAAACACAATAAAGCAGATACTAATTATGACTGTTTTGGACTTAAGACTCTATTACTTTGAATTATTGTGATGTACAATCTGATTAAACTTAAATCTTTGATCTGCTCCAGTTTGAAAGTGTTGCGATCAATACGTTATATCGCGACTACCAATGAGTATCTCTCAGTTATCTAACTTACTACCGCTCTTTTGCGGGGGAGTCGAGGAAAGTCTTAATTTCTGGGGGCAAATGACATTGTTTACAGTAGTTACAATCGAATGATTCGAACAATCTAATGCCGAAATCACGATGATTTGCCAGATATTGAACTCCAAATAGTAGATTGTCAAATAAGGAAAGTTTAGAATATTTTATCTGCTTAATAATGTGACAATTTGTAATGAAAATTCAACGAAAAGAGTCTGCTTAATTAAATATATCGTTAAAAATGTGACAATGTAGGATTGGCTCCTCTTAAAAATATATTAGGCTGGTTCAAGGATTGTTTAGCGAGGTATTCCACCAGGATTTTTTACTTATCTGTCCTTATAAATACTACAATGATCGATCTTGCATTGTATTGAATAGCTCATTGCCCCCACCCAACAGACGATTCCTACCTCCTTCGCGAAAGAGTTCCGCTAAGTTAAGTAATCGCGATATCAAGTACTGGAGCGAATCAAAAATCTAATTTTAACGAGATTGCGTGATGTAGGAATTATAACATTTGTGTTTCTGCAATTATAAATACTCTTCATTTTCTTTTGACTTTGAAACATGTTTTTTTTTAAAGTAAATTTGGATGAAATGTACTTTTTTCAAAGCCTTTCTTTCACTTGATAAATGGATATGAAATATTGTACATTACAATCTTCAAAAAACATTTTTTTTCATCATCACTACATTTCGTCCCTTAATGACAATATGAAGCTTTAACTTATGTATTAAAAATCAATTTCACAGAAAAGGAAAATAAAATAGTGTTCATGTTTACAGTACAACACTAATGCATAGTGTCGCCGAGCTCTTTAAGGTTCAATTGTTTATATGCATAGTCTTTAAGTCAAAATGGAAAACCACAAATCATTAAGATATAAAAATAAACCACTTACAGTCTTGCTGTTTTGGTTTGTCTTCTTTATATGCATAAACTTTCAATTGAAAAGAGCTTGATGTACTTCTAAATGTCCTAGGAACGGATAGTTCTACATTGATGTCCGCATTTTGCGATCCACAAAACTTCTTTGGAGTCTGACCACATCCATATGTCTGAGGAATGATAAAGCAAGCATTTTATTTTATTTAAAAAATATAATAAATTAATAAACAAAAACATAATACATTTATACATATTTTTGTTACTTGTCTGGATTTTTTTGAAGATGTTAAAACTTTGTTGTTACCCTCTTCAATTCGCCTTCTTCGATGTAATAAACATGCACACTACAGTCTTGTATGTTAAAGTTTTCAACTTCAACACACACTTTGCTTAGCGACTCCATAGGGTCGAAAGTTATCTTACAGCTCCTAGTTCTTCCACGAGAGGAACCGTCCCAGGAGAGGTGATAGTCATCACTAGTGTAAACACTGTAGAATTTAGAACCCAGATCGCATGTAAATTCCGAGGAGACTAAAATTTAAAATAAGAAAAAAATATTTTTTAAAAATGAGATGACTATGGTAATTTTAATCTATTATCAGTATGCTTTAATATATATATGCAATAAGTACTTACCCGAAGTGCCCATAACTTGATCAGCATGCATAGACCATAAAACAATACTCGTAATCCATATCCAAAACATCATCATGATCTAATTCCTTAATGCAAAAAAATCATTAGGTTTGAAATTATATTATTTAGTCTGACAATACTAATTGGACTACTTAATTTTGAACTGATTGCTTACAAAAATACCCGTGCAATTTTTATTTTCATTTCTTTACTGTGCCCAGTAATATGTGTATTGAAAAGTATTATACATTGATCTTCCTCTTTAATTTGTTTTGAATTATTTAACTTTCTTTCATTTCAAAAGGATATGGAGCATGTAATTCATAAAAGATTTCACATCTTGCATATTGAGTTCTATATGAACTGACAAAACATTTTTTAACGGTGATGTGAAAACAACAAAATCTTCCTGGTGCACACAGTGTGATTTATAAATGGCGTCTGCCAAGAAAACTGACACAGTGAGATTTATAAATTGCATCTGTTATGAACACTCATTTCATGTCGGTAAAAACATAGTACTCACCTATAGAAATTCTGTCCACAATCTATGAATCAAAGGGACATTAATTAAATTTTCATTTTTTTTTAGTAAAAATGGCTGCGACCTCTTAACTGCTATGTAAACAAAGCTTCGCATGACTGGTTTTTCCGCTACTGTGAAATAAAGCGAAATTCCTCGATACATAAAATACGGACCTGTTGAATAACACAACGCTGCACAACGTGTGCTAAATGTTTATCATTAAAGCACTTGAACACTACGATACTTCAACACGGAAGACGAATAGGAACTTTATTATTGCAAAAAAAAAATCAGATATTAAAAGAAATAACATCATATTATTTTTCTTTTTTCGCTTTTACTTTTAGAAGATAACTGAATTGTTCTGTCTATTTTATTAAATCGTTTCTTCACACATTCTCATATTCTGAAATATTAAGTACTTATTAATTAATAATACGACTCCCTAAATATAAACTGTAGAAATATGTTGATGTTGTTCAG